GGTGAGTTTCAGGTGGACATTGGCGACTATGTGCACGCGCTTGGCGTCATGGGCGTAGTGGAACCGCAGGAGAGGAAGGGAGAGCAGGAGTTGTGCTGGGGGAGGAGGCCTTTGGGAAAGGTTTGGCTGCAAAGAGCGAACAACACCACGCTGATGTGCAGCTTGAACAGCAGGTGGCACGCAGAGGCACACGGGACGGTAGGGTGGGGTGCACAGGGCAGAGCTGCAGGGAAGGGGTGGGGGGCAGGGCCGTTCAGGCTGCTCACATGTGCCCACACCCAGCTCCCACTCGTCCTCCTATTTGGGACTGAGGAGGCTATGTCTGGCCTGACCAAAATGTGTGCAGAAAGAGTAAAACCCTCCAAAGACATTCCAGCATCCCTGATATTTTAAACAAAAACAAGTTGCCCATTGGTGAATGGTTATCAAAAGACTAAAGAATTCTGCAAACAGGATGACTGTTGGAATACCACCCAAGTAGGACAATTGTGTCAATCATCTCAAAAGGCTGATTTTGGTGCCCCATAATAGCCCCTGCTTTAGTAAAGTCACATTGATGTTCAAACAAACATAAAGCATAAAATGGTATCTTTCCTCGTCATTGTGCTCTCAGGTCTGAGATTTCTGAGTGATCACAACTTCCGACTTGCGGGGCGCGTGGGCGCTCGGGTCAGGGTGCCGGCGGGAAGGCCGGCTGCCCTGTCCTCGCGAGTGGGCGAGGCGCCATGCTCCAGCACGGTCGTCTCGATCGGCGTCTTTATGATCAACGGGCAGGAAACCCGTCACTGCTGGCTCAGCCGATTCCCGCCAGCAGATGCCAGTTCCACCAGGGACAGTGGGGGCGCTTTCCCTTTCGCACGCATTTCCAGGGCTCAGGGGCTGGCAGGCAGTGTGATAAGTGACCACAGGGCAGGAAGGGTGTTCCCGGAGGGTCATGTCTATTAGTACAAATACCCAGAAACTTTGTTGCTTACTATCACAAAGAACACCTTGCATCCACTGAGCTGCCCCCAGCAGGAAGGGAAATGGCTCCTGTCAGGTACCAGGCTCAACACAGCAGATGTCTGACCCACCCCGGACACACACAAACACATGCACGCGCACCAATGCACCCACACATGTGCGCACACATACACGCACTCACATGCGCACACACCCGCACACGCCCTGCCTCACTCTGGGAATAAACAGGCTGGAAGTAGGTGGCCAGGAGAGGGGGACCTGGCAGGGTGACCACAGCAGCGACATCATTCTCAAGCCTTTGGACACACACCCCACAAAGGGCCTGGTTTTGTTTCACGAATAGTGAGCCTGATGGTGAACAAGGAGGGTGGACCCTGGGACAGCTAAGCCCTGGGTCCGTCCCGTCAGCCCCCGGGCAGACACCCTCCTGGCCAGGGTCCCTCCACTGTTCCTCACTCTACACCTCCCAGGAGCCATGCTCCCCAACTTACATTTAAAGGCTTTAGGTGAGGTTTCGCTGGTCTGAATCTTTGGGGCAAGCATGCGTTTGCCAAAAACCTGAGCATCAAAACTTGCGTAGTCAAAGGTGACCTTGGAGAACTTCTCCAGCTCCTTCGCCAGGTTGGCCCTGGGCGTGGAAGGGGCCACACTGGGCCGGTAGCTTCCATATGGAGGGACCTCGAGCTGCTTCACGAAGCACATGGGTCTGGGGTGCAGGACAGATGCAGAACCATGAGGACAGGACCCAGGAGCCCAGTGCTACTCATCCCCCAGCCTGCACAGGGGCCCCTCAGAGCCAGTGGACAGACCCCTGGGACACCCTCCCCCATGTCCCACCACTAACAGCTGCCTGGGGCCTGGTCAGTGTGAGGAAGAATGGCCTGACCCCTTGCAGACAGCATTAGCCAGAGGAGGCAGGGCCTGCGACCTTAGGAGAGCAGGTTTCAAACAGCTCAGCAACAGTGCACGGGAGCCCTTGGCCGTGGGCCGCCCCAGAGCATCCCCCAGCGGGGATGGTAAGGGCCCAGGGAGGAAGCTCTGCAGCAGGTGTCCGAGAGCCTTCGAGGAGAACCCTCAAGACTGGCCCGACGCAGCTCTTCACGGGCAGGGACGGCGGAGATGGCCCTTGAAGGGACAGGCGTGGGAAAGCCACCGCAGGGTGCCGTTCTTTGTTACTGAAGCTCTTGGAAGAGTTCGGATGTTTAAATACACAAGAGGCAGCATTGAAGACCAGCCCAGAGAACACAGGAGCCGGGCAGGAAGACCACCGGGAGGAGACTGCCAACCACTCAGGACGAAGGAGCCTGGGCACCCCCCTCCCCCCTGCAGCAGGCCAGAGACTCCTGTGCGCCCTGAAACTGCCCTCCAGCTTCGTGCTGGGAGGCCCGCGGCTACTTGAGGCACCAGCACACGCCCACACCCACACCCACAGGCACGCGCTGCCCACAGGCAGCCCCTCCAGTGCTGTGGTGCTTGCACTCGCCTGAGGATCCGCTCTGAGCTGGAGTCAGTCTTGGAAGGATCTCCTGTCTGCGGCTGTTGCTTCTCGTGAGATTTGGCTAACTTTTCTGCAGCAGCAATGGGACACCCAGACAAACTAGAGAAGGACAAGGGGACAGCTGAGCCTCCCCTCTGGGCCGCCTGCTGGGCCGGGGACACGGCAAGAGCCTGCGGGGCCTGGGAAGCTGTCACTCCTCCAGAGTTGGCTTTTTCTTCTGCTCTGGGCTCGAGCACCAAAGCAGCCGCTGTTCAGGTGGTTTGTTTAAGGAAATTCTAAACCAGTGACACCAAGGTCTGCCCTCACCTTGTGGCTGCCCTGAGGGGCCACGGCAGGCCCTGCGCACCCACGACCGCCCTCACCACGCCCAGCTTCGCAAGTACCTCCTGTGCGTGTTCCGGTTGCTGTTCACGTGGCCCTGGCCTGTGCAGCCGGGGGTGGGGCACTTGAGCACGTTCTCGTGCATGGCCAAGACTGCAAGAGAAGGGTGAGCACAGCCTGAGAGGCACACCGCACCTTGAGCAGCCTCAGCCCAGTCAGGGCATGTCCCCCACCCCCCGGCCGCCCCCTGCCTCCCTGGGGCAGAAACGAACTCAGCTTAACAACCCCTGGCTCCAGTCAACCTCCGGTTCAGTTACTGCCTCCAGCCTGGGGCCAGGACAGGCTTGCCCCGAGCAAACCCAGCCCCTGCCCAGGGGTGGCCTCATCTCCCTCAGCTCTGCCTCCCGTGCCCATCTTCAGGGGGCCCTGACCCAAGCTGCCTTCTCAAGGTGCATGACTGGGCACACTCCATGTCCCCAGCCTCATAGGGCTCACATGTGGGCATCTGGACAGTGCCAATCCAAGGAACAGGGCCCAAGTGGCCATTTGGACACCTTCCAAACACCAGCTGTGTCCTGAGCTCTGCGGAGCTACTCACTCTCTGGAGGGATCCTGTCCTTGTGGGGGCACCCTGACAGGCTGCGGTGGTGCGGGTACAGCCCTGTCACGTGCCCGGTGCCATCACAGCCGGGGGTTGGGCACTTGATCTCACGTTTCTCTGCTCTTGAGGAATCTAAACACACAACACATTAGTCAGAAGGTGCCCAGGAAGTTGCATGCTGGGTGGTGAGGACAGCTGATCCTTCTCTCTGGGCATCCAGAGAGGAGAGTGGCCAGCCTGCCCGAGAGCCCCAGAGGGACCAGGGCTGCACAGCAAGCTGACTCCAGAGGACCGGTCCGCACATGTGGGCTGCCCAGAGCCCGGAGAAGCCCGAGACTGACCGAGCACCCCGAGAGCAGCTACGCAGCCACGCCCGGTCCCTCTGCCACTGGTTCAGAGTGAGGGCACACCTGCTGGAGCCCCACCCTCAGGGTCAGCCTCTGCAGAGAAAGGAGGCGGTCAGGGCGAAGGTCCCTACCAGGACTGATCATCTGTTTGTGACAAAATGAAGAGGACAAAGAAGTTAAGAAACTTACCCAAATCACATGCCTACTTAATGCTGGGGCGGAGATTTAAGCTCAAGCCTCAGTGACCGGCCTCATCGCTCTCTGCAAGGCCAGAGAGGTCACTCGTGCATGTGGGGGCCCAAAGGGGACACCTGTCAGGGCACTGGTGATCTCCAGAGCCTGGCCTTTGCCCTGGAGAAGCTCCTGGGCAGAGCCGCCCCCCTGGGAGAACCAAGAGGCCACAGCCTCGCTCACAGGGAGGCCTCGCAAAGCCTGGCACCAGCCTTATGGGCCTGCCTGGCACAGCCTGGTGCTCCCAGCCCAGCCACCAGCATCTGTCCCCTGGGTCCCTGCCCTCAACTTTAGCCCTGAAAGCAGGGCACTGCATCTGGGTCCCTAACGTCCATCCCACAGGAGTGAGTCCCTGAACCCCTGGGCCTGGGCTGTCACTGGTCTGTATCCCCGCCCCAACAGGGTCCCACTGAACTGTGGGCCCCAAGTCCGCCTTCAGACTGACACCCCACACCACCCCCGAGTCCCTGTCACCTTCACTCCAGCATCCTCATGTCCATGTCCCCTCAAGGCCTGTGCAGGAGCCTGTGCTGGCCTGACTTGGAGCCCCAAACTGCTGTCCCTCAGTCTGCCACCCCCAAAGGGTCTCCCCTGATAGCTCTCCTCGGGTTGAAATAACGTCCCCATCTGTGTCCCCTCCGCTGTGCCCCTGAATATCTGACCCTGCGCCGGTCCCACAAGAGCGAGTGTCCCCAGAAAACATGGCCCTGTGTCTCCACAAGCGAGGCGGCCTCATGACCTACAACTCACGCAAGTCCCTCCCAACCCGGTGGCTCCCCAGGCTGTGGCTGAGCCACTGAGTTGGGTGACTGTCCCTCCCTCGCCTCTGCTCAGCTGGTGCCTCGGCTCAGTGCTGCTCTCTGGTGGCCCTGTGTGTGCAGCGCGAGCCCTGTCCTCAGACTCAGGCCAGGTCTCTGCTGGTGGCACCTGCACACCTGGTGTCCCCAGGGGAGGGGCAGGGATGGGCGTGTGGGGCCTGCGCCAGCCCTACCTTTGCTGCAGTAGGTCTTCCGCGTGGCATCCAGGGGCCTGGCCACCTTCACCGGCTCACCCAGGCCCAGCTCCCCGGGCTCGCACGCAGCCCGCACCTGCTCAGCTTTCAGGGCGATGGCCTGCTCCAGGAGGCCCAGGTTCCCCCGTGTCATCATGTCGTGCATCTCGGACTCATCCGTGACCTCGGACTTCTGGGAGCTCGAGTCCTCATCCTTGCCGTCATCAGACCGCAGCTCCACCAGGACAGAGTACTCGGGCTTGCGGCTGTGGGGTTCAGGGGCCTGTTCTGGGGGGGAACGAGGGGCGCCCTCCCGGCAGGTCACATCAGGAGTGATCTCCTCCTCGTCCTCTTCGTCTTCCTCATCCTCGGTCTCCTCCTCCTCCTCCTCTTCTTCTTCCTCCTCTTCCTCTTCCTCCTCCTCTTCAGCTTCCTCCTCCTCTTTCTCCTCGTGGTCCCCAGAGACTGTTTGCTGGTGGAGCGCCTCGCTGGCCATGCCCTCCAGGAACTGAGGGCCGGGCCCCTGAGTGTACTCACTGGTGACCTCAATGACCTCCTCGGTGTCCGCCGGCTGGATAAAGACCTCCTTCTCCCCTCTGTCGCTGGCGGCCCCTCCTTCCGCCTCCTCCTGCACCAGGTGCAGGACACCAGGGCCCGGCTTGGCCTGCTGGCCGGAGCCCTCCCTGACCAGGGGCTCCTCAGCGACGTGGCCCAGGTCTAGGAGGGAAGTGGCGATGGCTTCCTGGAAGCTGCTGTAGCTGCCTTTGGAGGAGCCTATGGGGGTGCCGGCGGGGTTGGAACTGAACTGAGACTGGATGGGGCTCCTTCCTGCACAAGATCAGAAAAGCCACATGGAGGGCCCCCGAGGAGGGCGGATGTCCAGGCTTCTGTCCCCGTCCAGAAGTGGGCATCAGTGGGGTCATTTGCATCACTGCCACTGCCTAGATCTGGAGGTCACAGTGGACTTTTTAGGGGCAGATAGGGTCACTCCATTGTGGTACTTTCTCACATCACTTCACAAAGTGGAGCTGTGGTACTTTCTCACATCACTTCACAAAGTGGAGCTCAAAGAATACATTCGATTTTTTAAAATTGTTTCAAAATTGAAAAGTAGTAAACAAATTTATACTTTGCAAAGGACCCAAATTTAAATGTTTTCAGGGCGATGACTAAAATGTGGGGTGCTCCCCGCGCTGGCCCTGCAGTCCGTGCTCCAAGGGACGGAACACCCTCGGGCACCGCCAGCGCTACAGGAGGCAGGTGTGGGGACCTGCAGGACTGGCAACAAGTTACCCAAACCCGCCTCGGACCGAGGAGCTCGGGGGTGCAACGGGGTGTGGACCTTGGCCCGTCACACCAGCATTTGCCAAGGGCAGGGTGCCCCACAGGGTCCCCCTCAATCCTCCTCCATCTCACCAAGCGCCAAACAGCCCCAGGCTTCACTTCCCAAGGGCCACGCAGCTGTGTCCATGTGTCAGTCTCTCACGTGCACAGACACACACCCAGTCACACAGCGTTCACACAGCGCAGCCGCGGCCTCGCAGGAAGCCCGCCGCCTGCGGACAGGGCGCCCTTGTTCTCAGGAAGGGCTTTCTTGGCAGGGCACTCCCGGCCCAGGTGGTGGCTCTCTGGGACACACTGGGCGCCTTGATTCAGGACAGAAAGAACAACAAGGCACCTTCAGCGGGCGGGGGGTGCCGAGCCCCCTCCTGTCCTGCCAGCTCGGCCTCGGCCTCCTCCAGAGCTCCTTCCGACTCCTCTGAAACAGAGGCATCCTTCACCTCGGCGTCCTCGCTGCCCTCGCTGTCCACGCCGTAGCCCTCGTCCAGAGCCAGCTTCAGAGGGGGTGACTTCCGCTTGGACACCAGGTGCTGGGCCTCGGGGCCCTCCAGCTTCCTCTTCTTGGCCAGAGGGCAGCTCTGTAAACTGGAGGAAGGGGGCCAGGCTGAGGCCACCCACCCTGACTCCCTGCCTCCCCTGCCCTTCACCCTGTTCCTCTTGGCATCACATCGCCATCCCTCTGCTAGAAGCCCCAGACTCGTTGGCGGGGTTGCATGGACCCCCCAGGATGACTTGAGTCACCCAGTGTGCCCCGGGTCTGCCCTGAGCTCTCCTACACAGAGTCCTGCGGCCTCCCAGCAGCCCAACTGGGAGAGCCAGCGCTCTGCCTCAGCTGGGACAGCCCCTCCGTGACAGGTGGCGTGGGAGGACACCGGCTCAGCAGCCTTGGGCAGACGTGGAAGGTTCTAGATCCACAAAAGGCCCAGAGCGGTGGATGGGCTACAGCATCCCAGCAGCCCACCCTCCTTCCCAGGAACCGAGGTGAGGCCCACAGGCCTCCTTACCTCCGGTGCCTGGAGTACTTGCCACGGATGTGCCCCGAGCCCGAGCATCCCGGCGTGGGGCAGCTGGGGAGGCAAGCAGAGCGGTCACTGGGGAAGGGGCCCACCCCAGACCTCACCCGGGGCCAGAAGACTGTCTCCAAGCTGTTGGTCTCAGAACAGCCGCTTGCAGTGGCAAAAAACAAGTGAAATCACTCCCCCACGTAAGTAACTGTCAGGAGGGTGTCCGTGTGGAGGCAAGGCTCCCAGTGCGCAGCTCCGGGAAGGCGCTCCCTCTCCACAGATGAGCCAAGCTTCCCCGGGGCTGGGCAGGCTCCGAGGCTGGCCCAGGGCAACACACAGATGCTGGGATTCTCTGGCCACCACGGGGGCCCAGCAGCGCTGAGGCCGTGGCCTGCAGCCTCGCCCGGCGCTGAGCCAGTGCCTGCAGGAAGGACCGTGCAAACACGAAGGTGTGGCGGCCACACCTGGTGTGATGAAGCCAGGAGGATCGGTGACCCAGGAGCTGCCACGAGACCTTGGAGGGGGTGGTGGGGGGGGCCTCTCCCAGCTCCCCTCAGGGCTGGTGAACGAACGTGGATGGAGACGAGACCCCAGGAGTTCCTCACCCTTCACCATCATCTGTCTCCCCACAGAACCAAACCGTGGGAAGCTCCAGAAACTTCTGGTCATGAACGGGGACCATGCCACCCAACCCACCTCCCAGGAGCTGGCTCCCCAGGGCCCTGGGTAGGGCCTGGGTGGGGTGTGGAGTGAGCGTCCTCTGGCTGTCGGACACATCAGACCAGGGTTTTAAAGAGCTGTGATCACCCCATTTTACAGAGCAGCAAACTGACACCCAGCAAGATGGAGAGGTCACCTAAAGGAGGGGCCCGAGCTCCCCCTAGAAGGGGGTCACCCAAAGTTGCCCTGCCCAAGGGGAGAAGACCTCATTTTTAACAGGAGCAACACCGCAGGGCCTGAGCTCCACCTTGGATCGGACTTCCCCAGAGCCAAGAAGGAAAGAACATTCGGGCCCGACATCTGCAGGCTCCTGGGACCAGGAAAGGGGCACCACCCTTGACCTCCATCCAGACACCCACAATGATTTCTAACCTGATTGGTCACTGGCCTGAGTGCAGACAGCTGTGGGGCCCGACTGGCCAGAGGGCCACACCTGTGACAGGTCAGGGAGAAACAGGACAGAGGGTGGAGGCAAAGCCCCACCCGCACGGCTGCCTTGGGGAGCAGCTGGTGGGAGCACTGCCTGCAGCCCATGTGGGGGCCTCGTGGCCGCTCTCAGTGCTGATTTTCATTGATTTAGAAAGCAGACGGAAGGAGTGGGGGAGGGGTCGGGGGCGGGGAGACATGCCACTGTCACTGTGGGTCTCCTTTGCAGGCACAGAGCGGCAGCCCAGGCTGGCTTCGCTCTCCAGAACCGGCTTTGAGACTTTCCACAAAAGCTCCTTGTTCCGGGGATGGAAGCTGAGGTCCCAATTAGTCGATTAATCATTGAGTTAATCAGGCAATTAGGTGGCAGCTGCCGGGGAGGCCTGCGGGGCACTGGCGCTGCCCCAACACGTCACCTGCCCCGAGACACACCTCCGCCCACCGATTCAGAAGGGGCCTGGCCTCCAGCTGGCCTGTGTGCAGCGCTGGCGAGGACCACGCGGGAGGCGCTGGGATGCGGGCTCGCGGAGGGCCTGGGTGGGCAGCACTGAGCGGACCTGGAGACCACTCCCAGGTCTAAACACGCAGTGTGTGTGGCAGCAGATGGGCCTGGACTAAAGCCCCAGGGAAGTGTCTGTCACCTCTCGCGGTGTGAAGGGAAAGACCACCGGCCGCACGTTTTCACCCAACACTTAAATCCGGCCCCAGAGGCAGCAGGTGCTGGGGCCGCTGTCCCAGCCTCCCGGCAGCTCATCTCCTCACAACCTCTGTGCCACCGCCCAGACGCCAGGGCTGTGCTGGAGCTGGTGAAGGGACAGCTGGGGTGCAGGCGGCACGGAGCTCTGGGCAATGGGGCCCACATTCCTCACCCACAGAGTGAGTCCTGCAGGCAATTCCGCCTGAGATTCCCTAACCTCACGGTGCTCCTCGCGCACACCACAGCACTGAGTTTTCTGTGTCAGCACCAACAGTGGGCGTCCCACCAGGACGTGCACCCATCTGCTTGGACAGGGAGGAGTCCTGGCTTGCTACCCGTCATCCCGTGGCACGAAAGTGCCCACTGTGGGCGACGTGCACAGAGCTGTTTGTGGCCGTATGTCACATTCCCGCGTGCAGCTCATGGCACAGTCCGCTCCGCTTGGCTAATGTCGGTTCTCAGGAACCTGAAGAACAGCTGGAGACACTGTTACTAGAACGCTGGGCGCCCAGTCTACCCTGCTTCTCTGCAGGAAACTAGACGGTCTCTGTGACCAAGTCCACGGGGGCCTGTCTGACTAACGAAGCGGGAGAGCCCAGCGCTCACAGAGCCTCACTCACCTGGCCGGCTCTCCTCTTAGATGCTTCAAAGCAAATCTATTTGAGAGTCATTTTCTCTTCAAGAGAATATCCAACCCTTTGTGTTTGCCTTTCTAACTTCTCCATAACTTCATCTATTGGCAAAATTAAATGCCATTACCAAGGCGGAAGCCAGATGTCCCCAGGTGAGTGTCACACGGCCAGGCAAGGAAGTGGGCCCCTCTCGGAAGCTTCTGCACCTGTGCCCAGGGCCTCCGAGGTCCCGCAGCCTCTCTCAGGGCGCCTGGTCTGCCTGCCGCCCACCCTCTCCCTCTCACCCTTGACCCAGGACTGTGCTTTGAGCTGCAGAGTATGTGGTTCTGCTCTTCAGGCTGGAAAACTTTAACCCTCTCACCCTCCGGTTCCCACTCACTAGGACACCAGCAGGCACAGCTTCCGTGCGGATCCCTGACAGCCAGACGGTCCAGAGCAGCCAGCGCGGAGCCGCCCACGCCCGGGCTCTGAGCCTCCGCCTCCCGCCCATGCCCCTTCCCTTCTGAAACCAAGTTGGAGCCCAGAGCTCGGGGGACTCTGGGACACTTTGGGGTCCTCCCATTCTCCTGGTTGGCAGCAGCCAGCTGCTCAACAACTACCTAGAGAAGAATAAAGTGGTGCTGGCCCCAGTTTTCCTCCGTCTAGTGAGAGGGCATGGCGGGCAGCGAGGTGGAGCCAGCATTCTGCGGAAAGGCCAGCAGCCTCAGGAAGGGCATGTTCTCTGTCTCCAGCCGGGAGTCTGGAAGCTCACAGAGACTTCCATCAGGTGTGCTGGTCGCCCCGGCCCCTCCACATGCCATCTCGAGGGTGGCACACCCGCCAGCGCCCGCAGGTTGGGCACGGTGCTGTCCCAGCACCAAAGCTGTGTGCAGAGCCCCCCACCCTCCAAGGATGAGCCTCGTGCAGGCTGCCTCACAGGGAATTTTTGGAAATTAAATGGGGCACCCAATGCCCACATGGCATATTGGGGACGCTTCGGCAAAGCAGCAACTCCCTCCTTCCCTTGTACTCTGAGCCAGGACGCGTCAGCACTACCCTCCTCAGAGAAGCCGGTCTCCTACACACCCCCCCCTGGTGGCTCTTTCTAAGTCCATGGCCCTAGACCCAGGAAGAACCCGTCTGCAGGCGGAGGGGGAAGGGTGCTGGGGCGGGTGGAGGGGGAGGGGTGCTGGGGCGGGTGGAGGGGGAAGGGTGCTGGGGCGGGTGGAGGGGGAGGGGTGTTGGGGCGGGTGGAGGGGGAGGGGTGCTGGGGCGGGTGGAGGGGGAAGGGTGCTGGGGCGGGTGGAGGGGGAGGGGTGCTGGGGCGGGTGGAGGGGGAGGGGTGCTGGTAGGCAGGCACGTAGGCACTGGGGTGGTTTTCTTCTGCCATCCCCACCCTAAAGGCTTTGGCCACACCCAGGACAGAAGCCAGCAGGTGAGAGCACCTCAGCCTTAGCCTCCAGGAGGGGCCTGGCCTCCAGCTCGGACCAGCACTCACTGTGGTGGGCTGTCCTCCCTCCTCCTCAGGGCTCGGCCCCTAGCAGTGTGGCCTGGAATCCGCAGTCGCAGACTCTGCCACAGGAGACCCCAACACACCGCCTGCGCCTGCGTTTCCCAGTCAGTGGAAGCCTCGGGCCCCGGAAGCCTGTTCCATCTCCAGCCAAATGGGCCTCAGACCGTCTGACACAGAGCCTTTGTGACCAAGAGAGCCCTCACGACTGCAAGGGACCCTGTGACAGCCCTGCCGGTGGTGGCCAATGCGCACAGGCTGTGCCCCTGCCATGAGGCGGCTGGGTGATGGGGCCAGGACGGGGGAGGGGGGGCGACAGCTGACACATGCCAAGGAGAGAGGGGCCTCGTCAGGGAACAGGGCCAGAGGTGCAGTTGGTCAATCCCAGGAGCCCGTGGGGGACATTAGGACGTGCAGGGTCATAGGCGCGACACGCTCGGCACCAGCGGGGAGTCCTCTTACCTGAGCTCGGCACCTGTGGGCTCCAGGGGTGCTGGTGAGAGACAGGAAGCACGCAGAGTCAGCATTAAACGAGCACAGTGGAGACATGGCAGCCGCCCCGTGCCACCTCCTCCTGACCTGCCAGTGCACATTAGGTGCAACCTGGGGAGGGCTGGTGTCTTTGGAGGGACAAGTGCCCCCACCCAACACGGGCTCCTGGGCCCTCAGAGCCAGTGAGGCACCTCTTCTCTAACTGCACAGAGAACACCCTGCGGAGCTGCGTCTGCCTGGCACCTCGCCCGGCGCTCTGTCTGGGAGAGCCCCGCAGCGCCCACAGCGCCCTGAGGCCGCCAGAGGCCTCAGACTCAGGCCCCAGCCAGGGAGGAGCAGGCAGGCCGGCCTCGCTGTGGGCCGCTCTCCTGAGGGACCCCGCGGGAGGTGGCGTCCACAGCCTCGGCCTGGGACTCGGACAGAGCCAGCTGTGGCACCAGGATGGACGGGGAGGCGGCACTCACCTCGCAGGGCCTTGGATCTGGTGCGAGCGCGCATCTCCTCGTTCTCTAAGCTCATCTGCAAGTAGAAGCAGCTGTCACGTTCAGGGAAGACAGGGCTGCCGGGCCTGCCTGCGTGCTTTCCAGCCCAGCTTTGCTGGTGAAGGCGGGCTTGCGACACCGAATCCAAGGAATGGCTCCCAAGGCAGGAAGACCTGGGACCTGGAGCAGCAGGCCCCCCATTTCCGGGTCCTCCTGTCCCCTGCGCCTGTCCCATCCCGACCGAGGAGGGTGGGGCCTGCTCCCCCCTCTCACAGGCACAGGGGCTCAGGTACCAGGACAGTTCACCAGCGCAGACTCCACCCCACTGGGCCCCGGTGCCCAGCTTCCTGCTGGAGCTAACGTGAGGGTCGTCCAGTCAGAAAAAGGTTGCCGGGACCCGGATGGACTATCCAGGAAGCGTCCAGAGGTGGGACAGCTGTGAGCTTCACTGTGTGCTGTCCCAGGAACAGTCCAAGGACAGGTGGCCTGAGCTCAGGGACCGTCCCTAACGTGGGGCAGGTCGCCCCTGCGTGTGTTCCTAGGGGCACCAGGCTGCTCGGCATGCCCCACCCTGGGGACTAGAGACACATCCCTGTGCACGTTCTAATAGCCGCGCCGACAATGTGAAAGGAAACAGCTAAAACTAATGCTAATACTAAACTTAGCCCAATCTACCCAAAACTATCATTTCAACAATGATTGATATGAATGAGATTGTGAATGAGACTTTTGTTCTGTAGTAACTGAGAAACCTTGCGTGTCTCCTGGTCTCAGCACATCTGCGTGAGCAGCCACCTGCCACCTGCCCACGGCCACCAGGCTGTGGCATGCCCAGAGGCGGAGGCCGTGTCCGTGAGAGCCAGGCTGGGGCATGAATAAAGGCCAACGGGTCAGCTCGCCAGACCCACCGGCCCCTACCCGATGCCGCTTCTCCCAGGAGAGGCTGAGTGGCACCTGCGAGGGGACAAGGCACAGTCCAGACCAGCGGTCACCAACCTCCCAGACCTCACGGACCACCAGTGGTCCGCAGACCACCGGTTGGCAACCACTGGTCTAGACGCCACCGGAGCCCATTAGTGATGCCCCCACAGTCCCCGCCCCGATCCACTTCGGAGGGGGACACGCCCACACTGTCCTCCAAGGAGTCGGGGGAGAGCCCCGGGAATTACAGGTCATCAGACGAATCCTTGGCCTGTGTCGCTCATGACACATCTGGGCAGCAGGTGATAACGAGGTAGGAGGTGGGCGCTGAGCAGGAGCCCCGACATGCTCTGTGTCTCCAAGAAAGAGCGGCCTCTGCCGGTTACCCACCCCAGGAGGCCCTGGGAGAGCGGGCCGCACCACTCACCACGGTCAGGAAAAGGAGGAAGCAGCCCCCACCTGCCTCAGGCCACCACGGAGGCTGCCGGAGGGACAGCGGACAGTGGGGGAGATGTGTCGGGAGAGAGGAAGCCAGTGCAGGGGGAGCGGAATCTGGGGTCGCCCCTGGGAAGACAGGTGGAGGGATCCCCCCAAGTAGTGAGATGAATTTTGCAGAGGGAAACTCCCGAAAGCGGCACCAACATATGACGATGCCTGGGGTGACTTGTGCAGGGACGGGCGCGGGCCATGCTCTGAGTGCAGCTGTCCAGCAGCAGGAGCCGGGCTGCACCTTCCATGTTGGAGACGAGGCTCCCCGCGGACCAGTGGCTCACACGGGAAGTGAAAAGAGGAGCAGGTGTCCAGGGGGCTTCATTACCCTACGAGCCTTCTAACGCACCTGTGGGCCGCAGCACGCCAGGCAGGACGCACCTCGACGCTGACGCCTGGCTGCCGGGCGCCTGCTTGCAGCTGAAATGCAATCTACCGCTCATTTTTGGTGATGTTTCCCAAGGAAGTTGGCAAGCACCCTGCTAGGTTAAAGTGTGCCTTGGTAATTTGGTTATCTGCAGATAAATTATTCAAAGAGCAGAGAACAGAGAAGGTGGCAGGGGTGGGTTGCGGGTGCCGCCTCCAATGGCAAGCCCTTTGTCGAGCTAACAGCTGTGGCCTCTGTATCGGAGGGTCGGTCAGTGAGAAGTTCTCCTTGGGGCATGCGGCTTTGATTTTAAAAGGGAAAAACTGAATTACAGGAGAAAAGGTGGGTTGGCTCTTTAACGTGAGAGTGAACTGGGGACCTGGCAGCCAAGACCGCTTTCTGAGCTGTTTGGAACCGGTGGCTCTGGCTACCTCGGGAGCACCGGGCAAGGCTGTGATGACCCCAGCGAGCTCCAGGGCTCCTGGAGAAAGTGGAGCGCCTCCGGCTGAGGGCACCTCTCCCGTCCCAGGTGGAGCCGGCGCACCCAGCAGCCCCCACCCCGCAAAGGCAAGGAGACACGTCCCCATTTTTCATTCATTTATTGTTTAAAAACCCTCCTCTTGTTCCAAGCACAAATCCATCAAGTTTCTGTTTTGGCGTGGCCCCCAGGTAACTGCACAGCCTCTCCCCTTGAGGGGGAAGGCCCCTTGGCACAGCCGAGCCTCCAGCACCCGCTCTCCCGGGGGCAGGCGGCCCAGAACCCTCCTGTGTTTCTGTAACTCCAGCTTGTTCTGCCACAGGAGCCTCTCACACTTCCCGTGCTCCTTAAACGGCTCTAAGCTCTCATTAATATTTCACTAGTTCTGCCTTCAAAAGGAAAACTGGGTGGGGGGGGTAATTTACAGATGCAGACGCACCAGCGTGGCCACATCTGCGAACCAGAGTGGGTGGTCCTGTCCTGCGTCACCTCAGGACCCACATCAGCATGAGGCTCTCCCTGCTGTCCACGCGGCTCTCACAGCCAGGGGCCACGGAGACCAGCCCTCGTCCGACCCGTCTGCATATTGCCATTGCCCAAACTGGGTTCCCTGGATTGAACATTTACAAGCTGGGAACCAAACAAGCCCAGGTGGTCAGCAGCCTCCAAACCTCATCTGGACTCTGGGGCCGCGGAGGTGAGCCAGGAGCTCAGGCCCAGCCAGCGACAGAGCAGTCAGGGAAGGGCACTCTGTGTCCAGGAGGGTCCAGCCCACACGGCCCACAGGCTTTGTGCGTCTTCACTTTTATCCCAGAGGCCAGGTCTGTCCCCCAAGTTCAGGGACTCTAGGGTGGTCTCTGGAGATGCCCTCCCCCCCTCGAGCCCCCAGCCCTACCCCGTCTATCACCTCTATCCCTCCCTTTCACTCCTCTGTTCTTCCCAGGCCTTCACAGCTGAGGAGCCTCCCTGCCCTTCTGCATAGACAGCTGAGGCCCAGCCCCGAGGAGCCTCAGACCACGTGCCTGCCAGCCCGAGAGTCCCTCACTCTAGAGTCAGGTGAGAGATTGCTCAGGGGCTGCTCAGACTTGGGACCTTGGTGGGGAGGGAGGTTCAGTGGGTCAGTGAAAACCTGAGGACATGTAGGCTGCCTCAGGGTGGGAGGTGCTCAGAACTGGGGAGCAAGGAGCACCCTTAGGTGTCAGCTCCTCTCAACAGTCAGGCCTGCTCCCTCCCACTCCGCCCTCACAGCCCTCAATTCCATCTGAGATAAGCTCCTTCATTCCTGTTTCGAGGTCACTGTCCTGCAGAGCAAGGTGCCGTGGCCTCGCTCTGCTCCGAACATATTATGGAAGGATGGACGGATGGACAGATGGACAGACAACTGGGGAAGGCGGCTGAGCACACACCTGGGCCTCGGGCTGGGCAGGTCCCAGGGGCCTCAGGGATGCTCACTGGCCCTGGGATGCAGCAGGAGGAGGTGATGCTTCATTTTATTCGGAATTCGCTTCAACAGCTGCAAAGCTTAGGGCAATTTTTGAAGCCACAAGGTCATATGCATTCTAGTGTCTCTGGAACAGACCTAGAGGAAGAGAGGGGAGCACCCACTGATCCCAGGAGACCACAGGCAGCCCCGCCTGAAAGATGGGGTGACATGGAGTGAGGAGGGCAGAGGTACATAACAGGATGTGGCCGGGAACTGGCCATCACCTGCCCTATGGGCTCCAAAGGATCTGCCCAGTGTCCCCTTTCTCCAGGGGGGGGGTGGGGGTCTGGGCTGGTTCTGGGCTCAGCTGAGGGCCGCGCCTGCGGGAGCAAGCACTGTGGCTGGCTCCACACCCACCCGGCAGCAGCTCCACCCCAGGACCAAGGGCAGCCTTCAGGTACGCTCCTTGCTCCTCTCCCCTGGAACCCTTCAGAGCTCCCCTGCCTGCACACCTCCAGGCTTCCCTCTTCTCTGAGCATGCACCTGTGTGGACAGGTGGCCCCAGAGCAGCCTCTGCTTCACAGACAGGCAGGTCCTGCACCTCCAAAGCCCTTGACACACACCCAGCTCCCCATCCTCTGATCTCTGAGGCTAAACCCCTCACCCACACGCCTGTACCCTTGACGGCTGGCGTCACAGCTCTCCTGGCTCCCTGCAGGGACAGCTCTGTCTCCCTTGGGGAGTCCCACTGCATGTCTGACATCTTCTGACTCCACCCATTGTCTGACCTCCTGGCAGCTGCAGACACCACCTCTGTTTTGCTTGCAAAAAGGACAGCCATGGAGTATTATTGAACACATGTTTTGGGAAGGGTTCTCCTGACACCTCTAAGCATGGGGTCATAGCTCACTCCAGCCCCAAGTTAAAATGTAAAGCTACATAATGACACCCTGATGAAGCAGCCATGTCTGATCTCTCTCTTTAAAATTCCACCATAAATGGAATTTGTACCTGCCCAGAGGTAGAAATCAGGTACCTCCCTCCCTTGTCAGGAGCCCCAGGCAGGGGCAGGGAGAAAGCCTGGCTGGATGTCATGCAATCCACCTTCTCCATAGCATAGCTCTAGTCATCCACTGAATAGCAGTGTTTCATTCTTCAAGGTCAAGAAGAGGTACAAGGACCTACAATCAATGCCTGCTCCTTTTCTCCTTAGGTTTAAACACACACACAGCTCTAGCTGGTTTGGCTCAGTGGATAGAAGGTCAGCCTGTGGACTGAAGGGTCCCGGGTTCAATTCCAGTCATGGGCACATGCCTGGGTTGTGGGCAAAATCCCCAGTAGGGGGCATACAGGAGGCAG